CAATCCAGCTCCCCTGGAGCTCTACTAAATCTCTTGCTAAGCGCTAGCGATACAAACGATCAGGTAGCCCCCAAATCAAATAATACTGTAGCAAAAATGTCGTTCACAGAGAACGACCCTATACAAAACATGTAACCATAAGCAATAATCAAAAATAATATAGAGATGAAGGGAAGATACATACCCGTCACCACATCAGGAGTCGCTCGTGCCTCCTCTACTGTCATCTGAAAAGCTCTACTCTTTGCCACTGGTGCCTCGGCTCGGCCCTGCCGGCCATCTGTAATCCTCAAAGTAGCAGGGGCAGGTGCAACCACCTTCCCTATTGCAACTAAACTCGGACACTGGGACTTTTTATGTCCCCTTTGATTGCACTGAAAGCAAATCAGATCTGATGTTGCAATAGCGGTAGCAAGGGGCCGTACAATCCCTGCTCAAATGCCCAGTCCGACCGCACTTGTAGCAGCCGGAATCCATGTTTCCAAGCTTTCCACCCACGGAGGCGTCGAGCCTTGAAAAGCCGGACGAGAGTTAGGATTTGGGACAGGAGCCACAGGGGGTAGCTTATTGACTTCGGGCTCGGAGTCAGAATCCTCCGAAAAGTTCTCTACGAAGTCATGATCAAAGGGGATTGCAGGTTCTTCTTCTGGTTCGACATCAAGCCAACCAGCATTTCCTTGATTTGGGAAGTACAGGTCTCCGGGGAGATGGGAATCCAACCATGATTATCTACGCGAGAATATGGATAAAAGAAATAGTTAATAGACGTACTAATTAAGATAATTATAGGATGATCTTTACCAGTTACTTCAATATTTGCAAAGTGCATACCAGTCATATATAACCAAGATAGGATAGAGCTTCGAATAAGTAACCCTAACTCCAAATCCACAAGCAAACAAGGAACATGAAATAAAGCAAAGATCACAGATTTTAAGTCTATGACACCTTAGTCACATATAACCTTAGCGTATTCACTTAGAAACTATTGACCTACTAGTAAAGACCTTTAGTTCTCAAACAAGCAATTATAGTAACACAAAATACTTCTGTAGTATTTTAGGTTTATGTTCTGTTGTAATGTTTTCATTGTAGTAGTGTTGGTAAGTTTTTAGACTTATTGCAACACCACAACCATTCATAGGCACATGCTAATCACTTCTCGGAAAATATAGTTGATCAAGCTATATTACTCCCAGATCTGATCATATGTCTCTAAGCCTAATTGTGTTGTTCAATAATCGTAATACTTTTGTTCTATCCCATTGACACTGATTTTAGTATGAATACAGGTATGTATACTTAGTTAAATATTTTATTATTTAAAAGTATAAACTCTTGGTCAGAGTATTTTAATCCCGTTGTGTTAATAGTTTGTATATCTTTTATGGGTTGGTATACTCGATTCACTATAAACAATGCTCTGATACCAATCTATCACACCCCCAAACCGAATTGGCGAAAACATTCAGGGGCGGAGGACGTCATGTATAGTATCACAACAATGCATAATGGTAAACAAGCAACAACATCATCCATTGCATTAATAGTATAATTTAATAAAAGTGTGTTTTGTATACTAATAAGATACCAAAAATGAATAATCGAAATGAAGATGAGTCTTGAAAGCTCCGTCTTCTCAAAACTTGGCATCGGTACTTGTCTGTTGATGACCTGAGAATACAAGTTATTTTGAAAGAAAGGATCAGCATTTAAGTTGGTGAGTTCATAAGTATTTTAGTGTCATCGTTTATATGAAAATGTTTGTAAATGTTTGATGTAAAAGTTTACATCTCCTAGAAAATCCTATATTTTCTACTAAAAAGTAGCCTTCTACCAAGACCTAAATGTTTTGCGTGATGTTTGTTTGTAAAAGTGTATCTTTCCCAAGTATGACTATCATTACCGAAAATATTGTTTTTACATTACCGTTTATGTGAGAAGATCATAATGTGAATGCAATGGCAAAATAATAAAGTATTGTAGTATTGTATGTAAGTAACTACCAATGTACTAACTACCTTAAACTAGTTTATTAATTTAAGGTTTCTATGTGATATGTAGCAACCATGCTAAATCAACAAGTAGATAACATGGTGACCTGATGACGCCGATAAGTAAATGTGATATTTGTCACCCCTGGCCTTTCGGCCAACTGTAGCGAACAGTCGGGATGCGGGCTTGTCAGTCCCGTATAGATCTATACACACAATGCCCACTCTCCCTCTAGGAGACTCTGGTTACCAAACGTGACACAACAAATTTTTTGCTATGCCATGAAGTAGACTCACATTAAAGTTATAGTATTCTAGTGTTTGTATAGTATGTTCTAGTGTATTGTATGTTCTCTATGTTCTAGTGTATAGTATGTTCTCTTGTATAGTGTAGTGTATGTTCTCTTAGTTTCGCTTCATAGTATGTTCTTTCAGTTTCTCATAATAGTAAGTTTGTATTGACTCATGAATGAACTGACTCTTGTACGTTTCATTGTACTAGAAATAGTGAGTAATAATCTCCTAAACTATACCTATTATAGGTTACTAGTAATGTTTTTTGAATGACTAAGTGTGTTTGTACACCTTTGCTAACCAAAGGTATTGAACTGAGATAAAAGCTTTTATATCTATATACATATACATAATATATAACTAAGGTTCAAACGACACTCAGAAAAACAACCGAATACTTTAAGTCCACAACCAAACAAGGAACAGGAAATAAAGCGAGTTATCAGTTCTAAGTCCTTTCAACCTTACTTATATAACTATATCTATATAGACATGATTTTGACAATATATAAGTTTAAAAGGGTTTAATAAAGAGTTTTAGCATAAAAGAGTCTGACATAAAAAGGAGCTTTAACCATTTGGATAATAATAGGTGACTTGACGGCAGTTTATAAAATGTTTTAAAAAGTTTGTTTAGTAAACAGTTTTGAAGTATATGAAATCCACTTATTTGATAGTTATTAATCACATGTGATTGATATAATAAATATAATGTTTTCAACTTGTATTCCTCCCATAAAAGCATTTAAAATCATTTAAAAGGTAGATTAAGGGGTATGAACTCACCTGTAGTGAGTGGTGCGAATGTAAGATCGATATAGGAAACTGAGTGTCAAGGGAAGTCTTGGGCACAAACGGATCCTATTAAGCATATAATGACACATATATGTATATAATTAGTTTATATTTAACAACTAATCTTGATAAGGAACCACCTTAGGGACTAGGAAACACTTATATTGAAGTGTTACAATCACATATAATTGCATATAAGGGGTATATGGCCATACATTGGAGTGTACGACCATAATGGTATGTTTCATGTGTGTACAGCCAGAGTGTACGACCCAAGTGGGTGTGGCCGCACACTCATGGTGAAACATGCCAAAGTGTGTTTTAAAGTCTTATGAAGCTTCTAGGGAGTGTGTTTTGACCCATGCTTAGCCTTAAAGGAACTTGGTTACCATTTTGGACCTTAAAAGAGGTGTGTACGTCCGTACACCCTTGATGATCTTGAAAAATTGTTGATTTTATGTTAAACCTCAAGAGTTTCTAGCACATAACAAGGTATGGAAGGAATACTCACAATCTGGAAGCTTGAAGGGGTGTTTAGAGTCCAAAAACTTAGCGTGTGTTCTTGGTGTTCTTGAAGATCTAACCAAAAGAGGTATATTTCATGGATGAAAACATGGATCTTCACTAGTTAAAGCATTGTATCAACTAACAATGAAAGGAACACTTACTTATTTGAAGATCAAGTGAAATTTTTTGATGATACTTGAGAGAGAATCCGATTTCTAGGCTTGGAAGTGTGAAAAGGGGTTAAAATGACTAAGTATCATATATAATATATATATATATTATATATATATATATTATATATATATATATATATACTATGATACTTAGTCATTTTAACCCCTTTTCACACTTCCAAGCCTAGAAATCGGATTCTCTCTCAAGTATATATATATATATATATATATATATATATATATAT